TATCACAGTTGAAAATGGTTGTACTGCTTAATGAAGTGTGGAAACCATTATACAGCGACATGATTCCTTGATGAATGGTTCAAAGTTCAAAAGAACAGCATTAATTTGAAATAGAAATATTGTTTTACATTATAAATGTCTTTACTGTAATTTTTATTAAATTAATGCATCCTTGAAGAACAAAAATATACATTTCTATTAAAAAATTCATAGTAATCCTAAACTTTTGAATGGTAATGTCATGTATCAAATGCCAGAATCAAGTTAAGAAATGTCTTTTTTTTAGCTTTATTATGTCAAAATGTTATACAGCAGATTCTACAAGGACGTTAACATCACACTCTCTTGTATCCTATGTGTCTTGTTTTGGTGCATAAATCTTTTTAGTTTGTAACAAGGATTCAACAGTGATTCATGCTCAAAATTCAGGAAAACTTTACTTTATTAATCGCATCCTCCATGACTAACATTTTCCTAGATTTTGAGTGTGAATCACTATTCAAATAAATTCATATTTCATTTTTCACTATTTAAATGAATTCATATTTTTAAAAACAAAATGTTTTTAAAAAATGTTTAAAAACAAAATGTTACTGTCTCACATAATATCAAACATTCACACCAACACACATTTTACCAACATCTCATCAAAAGCTAATCAAGGCCACAATCCAATCTTTATTCCACTTTATTTTTTGTATTTAGAGGCCCCTTTTATTTATTTATTTATTTATGTAGTCATTTAGCAGAAGCTTGGCTTTACACATACATACACAACAAAACGAAAACAAGTAGATAGAGAAAGCTAGTGTTAGAGGCCTTTTTTTAAAGAAAACAAGCAGATGGAAAACAAATAGAGAGTGCAAGTTCTAGAGGGTCAAATATAGATGGAAGAGATGTGTTTTTAGTCATTTCTTGAAGATGGCTAAGGACTCAGCTGCTCGAATTGGGCAGGTCATTCCACCAGGAGGGAACAGTTTATGTATATAAAAAAAGCCTAATTAAGAGTATATATGTTTATGAAACTTTATGACTTAGCCTATAAATAATGTTGCGCGAGTGTTTGTTGTGCATCAAAATAGACCATGCATTTTTATCAATGATCATCGTGTATCATCCTGGTACAGTGCAACACATGGTCAAAGAACAGATGACACAAAATAACATCAGTGTAGGTTGCAAAATGTTTATTAGGCCACATATGGTGGTGAATGTTATTTCATTCATTGCCAGAAGATGACAGTTTTAAAACTTAAAAGGTAACAGAAGAGCATAAAAATAAATAATTGAAATGGTAGTTGGATCTGCGCTACTATTGGAATCCTGTAGCTGTAATCATCCAGGTGTTCTGGGATTGTTGGTTTCACTGTGCAAATGGAACCATAAACCTTGTGTTAATCTTAATTGGTAAATTTACATTTGTTTGTAAAAATGTTTAACTATTTTACATTGGAAACATGAAAATAAGAAAGAAATTTCAGCAACATGTTTTTGCAGCAGTGTATGATTGTATCATAGTTTACAACCAGACAGCAGACAATTCACAACCAGACATGGAGAATGTTGAACAGGGTGAGTTAAGACATGGATCATCACACCAGTATACAAAAAAAAGGTCCACAGATACGTTTATAGGTTTATTTCATTTGTTGCAGGCAGTGATGTATTGAACAAATGATAACTAATAACAGACACCGTTTTAAAGCATCGCAAGCTACAAATGAAGGGCACAAAGAACTGAAATCAATGTATAGGTTACAACTAGCTGAAGTTTGTTGTGCTTTATCCTAACATTACACAAAGAATGCCTGCTGCAATTATTCAGTCAGGGACGACTGCACAAAACGTGCACTGTAAACTAATAAAAACATTATAACTGTTAGGAAATGATAAACAAATGTAGTTTGTGCAAAACTGTAAATATATTTACCTTTAAAAAAAATATATATATATATCCCATTAAACCTGCTGAGATACAAGGAGCGTGAACTGAAATTCTCAGTTCCACTTGGTTCCACGCGCATGTCCGAGAAACTCAGATATTCATGTATGCCCCGCACACTGAAACAGAAAATCTCGGAAACCGAAAATCTCGTAACACCGTTCGACCAGTTCACCTGATGCGCGTACACCTTCAAACAGGTAAGGGCAATGATCTCTTTTTGTAATGAGATCTCGTGGTTAACGGTATTATTTTAATTATTTCAGTGATTCTTCATCACGTTACATGGGGTCATGTGTTAAAATGGCAGCGTATGCGTTCAAATTATGGAACAGTGGTCTGCTCAGTTAGCACAGCTGCTAATGATAGCCTATCATTGACATTAGCCTAAGCTAACAGCTAACACACGTAACAGTTATGTAATGACTTCGTACTTTTTGGTAATTTCATGACTTGCCAACGTAACAAGATAACCAAGAACGTCCCAGATAGGTTATCTATTCGTAATATATTGGTAACTTCATGACTTATTGGCAACGTAACTACAACTTCGTATGCACATAATTTCATTACCATAATTTTTGTACGTTCTTTATATGCTCTCTGATTACCATAATGCTATTTAAAAAGTGTAATTAAACTTCAGTCACAAGATTGAACGTTCCTTAAAGATAAAATGTGTTTCTTTTCACCAAGTCAAAATATGGACATGCTTCTAATATATAGTCACGTGACATAAGGCGCGTGCGCCTCCACGACACACGCACAAACAAGAAAGGAAATTTATTTTTTCTGAGTTGTGAAACTTTGTATTTCGTAAGGACTTATGAAAGTAAAATAATGACACCGACTGGCTTACACCATCTCATCTGCCGCAGATACTGTATCAGGACAGCGTTTGTCTGATGCACTTTTCACTTCAACTGTGTCTGACAGGAGAATGAGCTTTTCTGAGGTGAGTCTTACAATTTATAATAAATAAATAGGTTGATAAAATGTATAAAACAAAGTTCTTGAACTCTGTAAAGACGCTAAAAACCCTTTTTTAATATTATTGTTTTTATGTATAGTAACCTACTGGTGGCCGTTGAGTTACCATGGCAACCGCGGACAAATCAGCTGCTGGAGAGGAGAGCGTCTGACATGTTTCTCTACAGTTATACCAAAAAAAGTTCAACTGCGACAGATTGGTTAAGTAACATATGTTAATATTACCCACAGTTTACTTTAAGTACTTTTGTTAATATTTATACCTCTGGTTATGGTATCTTTCCTTAATTATCTGAAATGTCTGCTAGCAAATATTACGCTAGCATAGAAGCATAACTATTAGCATAATAGAGTTGAGCTCTTATTAATGAAAGTTTGGGCTTTTAATCACATCTTATGTTTAAAGGAGTGGGTTTTATAGCTTTGTAAATGTTTTTACTGATAATTTGTCAATAGATAAATGGAAGTAAGCTAATTAATTTAACCTAAAAGTCTGCACTGTAAGGTCTATTGGTGACGTCACTTACATGCAGGCTAAAATGGGCTGAAACAATTTCAAACACGTTTTGATTTTTCATTGTAAACAAATATTTATAAAAATTGTACTGTGGTTTCAGGAGCGTCTAAAAAAACCCTCTAAAACAGAGGGGAAGTTCCAAGAAAATTTCTAATGGGAGCTGCTGACGGAGATATAGAAAACACAGGTAATCCGAGAAAGCTTATTAAATAACTTCATTTTTTTTTTTTTACAATATATCATCATGCATTTGTAAAATCTAAAAATGTGAATTCTGGTATCTTAAGATTTTTTTGTATGTTTTCCATATGACTATTTCTCTTTTCTGCATTTCACCTATGCTCTAGTTTGTTTATTTCTAATAAGGAGTTGTCAAAAAGACGTCACTTCCTGTTTGTTGCTACAGTGTGTTTTGAGTTTGAGCTCCGTCAAGTTAAATCTTTATTGTCTATTTTTTAATCTTAAAATCAATTTTTTACACCATAATAATTTTTGTTTCTATAACGTGTGGATATATCCTGGATATATCGTATTCTACAACAAAAACAATCAGAGCGCCTTGTTATCACTAGTTTTATTTAGATTTCCCGAGTCTGCTATTAGCTTATAGCCCGTTAGCATCGCCAGCGTGGTTGTAAATGGTGGTTTTAATGTAAATTAAACTTGTGGTTGTAATCTCGCTTACATTGCTAATACTCTATTCACACACATTACCATTGTTTTACTCACTGTTACTTGAATTAATGGCGGATGTGTGTCTACCTTTGAGTGCAGCTCAAGCTGTAGGCCATGGAGAAGCAGATCCGTGACCTGGTGGAGAAGCAGGCCCAGCTGAGAGAGCGGAGAGCCGCGTTGGAAACATCCCGGGCTGACGCTCACAAGTCCGGGGTAAGTATGCAGCGTGCTGCTAACTCTCCCACCACCTCTACTCTGTGTGCTTCTCTGCACAGGCCCGGTGCACCCAGGACGCGATCTTCCCAGATGTCCTTCACTCCGGCGCTGGGACACCACGGACCCTGGGTGCACCCGCAGCGGAAGACGCAAGCCAGGCCCTGGGCGACGACCTCTCCCCCTCCGGTCTTCGAGATCTCCACCCGGAAACCGATTCGCTCCACTCTGCGAGACGGAACGTGATGCTGTGATCGTCAGAGACTCCATCGTCCGGCACGTCCGTGCTACGTTAGCTGAAGGTAAAGTGCACACTCTCTGATTCCCTGGTGCTCGTATTCTCGATGTTTCTGCGCAGATACCCGCGATCCTTAAGGGCGACGAGAGCCCCGGAGCGGTCGTGCTTCACGCCGGAGTTAACGACACCAAGCTGCGGCAGACGGAGACACTGAAGAGGGACTTCGGGGCATGATCGAGACGGTGCGCAGAACATCGCCTGCGATGATGATCATCGTGTCAGGACCGCTTCCCACATATAGACGAGGACACGAAAAGTTCAGTAGACTTTTTGCTTTAAACGAATGGTTATTGTCATGGTGTAAAGAACAGAAACTGCTCTTTGTTAATAATTGGAATATTTTCTGGGAGCGTCCTAGGCTTTTTCGTGCAGATGGCCTGCACCCCAGCAGAGTCGGAGCGGGACTCCTGTTGGACAGCATCTCCAGGACGCTGCACTCCATATGACTAGTAAGCCAATTCTCAAATAACTGCTATGATGGCTTTTGTTCTACCCGCTTAAATGATAGAAGTACTTGTGCTATCCAAACAATAAAGACTGTGTCTGTTCCAGTGTTAATTTTGACAGGCATTTTTGATTTTGTCTTAGTCTTTACCTTGACACGAAAATGCTTAATAGTCTTAGTCACATTTTAGTCATTTGAGTCTTTCATAGTTTTAGTCGACGAAAAGTCATTGCATTTTTGTCAACTTTTAGTCATTACTTTTAGTCAAACTGCAGTTACAAACATTTATTTGGGTAGCTATTTTATATGTAGTCTTCAAACTAAAATAATCATTAATTCTTCTCTTTTTAGACTAAATCAATTAAACTTATGAGAAATTTGAATCAAGGATTGAATTTGGAAAAACTTGAATAAATGATGACAATTAAAATTTTGGGGTGAACTATGCCTTTAACAGTAGTGAAAAGGGAACAACTTATAAAAAAATTATAGTTCATATATGTAGCGTCTGGACCACTCAAACACACAATATATATTTTGTTAGCTAGATTTAACAAATACTCTGTAACACCCCAGGAAGCTGAACAGGCCCCTGGTTCCATAAGCAATGCTGACACCCGATACATTTACGACCTCCTGGAATTTAGGTGAAGTAAGGAAGTTATTTCCCTTAACCAGGAAATTAACGTTCTTAGAATTGACAAGACATTTGACCCTGAGAGGTCAGCTAAATATCTACAGCGGATCTAAAATATTCATAATTAATTATAACTAGTTATGGTTAATTATTCATATTTCCCATGAGCTGATTCGTTACATATATAATATATATAATTTATAATTTTTTAAAGAGAAGTACAATAAGACAATAAGACAAATACGAAAGAGATACAAATTAAACTCATTTTTCAGATACAGTAGGTTTACTTAACATATTTATTTAACATCTTTTGTTGGTTAATATTAATGACACGATAGGTACTTAATTAGGAATGCTGTCCCTTTAAGACGGAAGGCATGCATGTAATACTGACACACGTTCAGTTTTCACCCACCGGTTTACATTCACTTAATCAATAAACAACTGTATTTACGTGAGATACTCTACACAATAGACATTTGAACTAGTGGTCGACCAATAATCGGTGCCGATATTAAGCATTTTGTGATTATCGGTATCGGTCATTTTCAAAACCGATTCGCAGATAAAATAACTTAATTTTGAAACGCGCTATTTGGCTCTGATGCAGCCTGTCAGAACTCACCACTCTGTGGCCTAAAGCAGTCTCCGCCCACCGCCCATCTGATTTGTTGGGAGTCATGAGTACGACCAATCAATGCAGAAAACGCGGATGGAATCGCGGAATCCAGTCATATAAATTGAATTTACTGTATGACGTGGAATGTCACGGAATTTGTCAAAGTTTGGATGAATTAATCAAAAGTAGGTCAGTACACTTAAATAGTCGCAAAATGGACTAGTATCTGTAAATATTAAGCCGAAAAAATACTATTTAAATATGGATCCAGCATGTTCTGCGTGTCTTTGTGTATGTAAATGACACAGATGCAACACGGTGTTGTTTTCACTATGTGAAAACTACATGAGGACATAAATACGTGAACAACATCTCCAGAACTGCTCTGACTCCTCACTTCATGAGCATTTGACGGTTTCATTGGAGTAAAACTATCTTCATATCATTTACATAGACCTACAGAAACAAGTTCCTCATGGCAACCCGTCAAAATATAAGTTCGGGTTAGTTTAATGAAATCATCAGAAAGATATTACTGTGGTGCAGTATGATGTACATGATAATACTACTCGGGGATGAAAGTTTTCCGCCGCTACGACGGATTTCCGTCAATTGGAAAAAATGAGGGGAAAAGAAACTTGTAGCACATTGTTGTTGTTCTGCTGGTGTTCTGACGATTTGTTGGTAGCATAATCTGATAGGTAGCATTATTTGTCAGAACACCAGCACACCAAAAATCCTCCCCGCCACGGCTGCAGCTTCTCACTGACAACATAACGCCGCTCGCATCATTCACAGTCAGG